AGAAAGATCCCACAATTACAAAAGCTTAGGAGGTAAAAGAGGTAAACAGGTTTCTCTACTGCAGAACTTCTCAGAGTTTGCAGTTTTTTAATGTACACTGAAAAATCCCTAAGAGACCATACCGTACACATCTTAAACTTATTTGACCAGGAAACCCTTGTGTAGGGTCTCTTGAACTTGTGTTCCAGGGAACAGTATGGGGAGTCTTGTATCAGCTGAACACTGAATTGAAAGATGGATGCCTTTGTACACTACCTTGAATACCCATATGGTTAAAACACAGTGATGTTACTACAATAATAATGATGAATTGATCTAATTAAGAAGGGTATTCTTAGAACTGAAAGGAGCCCCAGCCATGAAGCCAACATTAACAGTATCATTCTGCTGATGTTAAAAAATGCAGACATCTCAAATTCAGGTCCCAGTACACAAAAAGTAACGACATCTGGTATTTACCTTTGGAGTGTCTGCAAGTAAAGTCTAAGTGTAATATTAATGTTACAAATTCATTATAACCAGAAATCAGATATATCAGAAATTATTAAACAAAGAAGTCTTCCCTTTAGAATCGAGACCAGGAAAGCTTTTATTTTACTTCCACAAAAAGGGTAATCGTAATGACAGCCTCAAGTCACTGAAGCAAGCGTAAGTTAATGTAGAGTTAACTACAGTACCCCAAACTAAGTAAACTAGGAGAATGCAATTCTCAACCACCGAAAACTAAGAAAGCTATTATTAAACACGTAACTTACTGCTATAATTTGATCTCCAATTTGGATTCTTCCATCATGTTCAACAGCACTGCTTTTCGTAATACTCTTTACAAAGATTCCTGAAGGTTCTAAGATTAGAAATAGGTTATTTTTCGTTATTTACATAGCACACTCAAAGAAAATCTATCCTCTGTTCTCCAAATATAAAGCCCTAATTTTTAATAATTATATAGCAACAAACCACACAAACAAAACCTCTAGTAGAAACAGGCTAGAGATTAAGACAATTGTTTTCTCTGCCAAATTAAATACAATATCTGTCACCCACAATAAATTATTCTTAAGGAAGTTTTTAACCAGTTTATCCAACAATACGAAAATATGTAATGTTGATTCAATATTTCCTAAGTCACAGATAGATACTAGAGGCAATTGCCAAGTTTAAAAAATATTTTATGTTAAAA